ATTGATTGTTGGTTTGTTTACGTTTGGAACCAATTTCATACAAGAATGATCAGTTCAACGTTTTGGCTCATCTCTGGTACTATCTTGGGTCCCAAGCTAATCGATGCACCACTCGAAACATAGGGAAATCCACGAACCCCTCGTTGTGTCTGTCAAACATACATAGCGAATCAAAACAAACATAGTGTAGTACTAGAATTTCCACTAGAATGGGGTACGCTCATAGATGTACTTGGGACCAATAGGCTAGTCAAGCTGTGAGCCAATTTAAAATCGTTATAGTTTCCACCGATTGGGTACATGCCTCGATATAACGTAACTGTCATTTTTGACTTCCACCGCCGATTTCTCGCAATCGATCATTCAATTATTCAAAAGAATAACAACATTGGACAGATGAAACAATCCCCCATATATTGGTAATAGTGATTTGTATTATTGAATTGTCAATTTCGAGATATCGATAATAGAAGCCAAAAGTGACAGTTACGTTATATCGAGGTATACCTGTAATACCTGTGGATGAGGTTTTCCATAGAAAGTAGTTAACTTTGACATGTTCAGAGTTGGTTGGAAATGCTAACATGAAGCTTTAGTGTGATAATTTATTAACTAGACAATGATCTTTAGAAGAGGGTAGGTGGATAGTTCCGTTAGAGTACACTCTAAAAAATCTTCACGTTAATGCTACGTGAAAAATCACGTAACACTTCACTTCGATCATTTGCACGTGGCTCACGTCAATGACAAATTAAATTTTCATAAAATTTACGTGATTTTCATGTTCGTTGATGCTAAGAGAATTTCACGTAAAAAGTAAGGGATAATCATGTACACTCTACAATATATACACGTCCAATCTACGTGAAAAATCACGTAGCTCATTCGAATGCTTCAACTTTCATGTTTACAGGATGGTAGTCATCTATCGCTTGATAAATATATCATGTCATGTTCACTGGACCTGATGATAAATGTGACAACATTTTCACATCAAACTTCTATGTGCGGTTGTGTGATTGTGGTGTGCTTACATAAAATGAGTTAACGTGATTTACATGTATGAAAAAGTGAAACAATATGGGGGCATCGATTTTATTAGTGGAAGAAGTGATTCAGCATACTGTAACTGTTTTAAAGTATTAATATATTATTTTGCTTTATTTGAAATCCGTCATACACTGCTAATTAAATTTATTTCGATTTCAGAGGCTGGATTACAAGATACAATTTACGGGGATTTTCCAAAGATCAATTTAGCCTGACTCGGCAGTAAACAGTACAAACGGATATTGCATCTGAACCGAGATCTGAATTGTCATGATCAATTAAGTGTTGGAAAAGCGAAATGGTTAGTATTAACGTTTCAATGACATAATTGACGTTTTAATAAAAAAATGCTAACAATGTTAAAAAATGTTTGTTGGAAAAAATGGAAAACAGTATGTTTTGTTAGATCCGATAAACATCACTTCAAAATCACGTCAACATTACGTGCAAATCCATTCCAATATAATTGGAATGGATTTGCACGCCCTAATAAACAAATACCATAAACGAACTCTATCCCGGATGGGTAAACTCGAGGGTTAACTATTCCACAAATGGTTTGGATGATACCCCGAACGCGTCGTTAAGCTCTCTTTTATGATTATTTTTATTAGGGCGTAATGTTGACGTGATTTGGAAACCACAGAACGTAAACGTAGGATGAACAGTATTTTCCAGTAAATATAATTTCAAAATCACGTAAACATTACATGATAACCGCTTCCAACTTAAGTGGAAATAACGTTATATTTACCTTACTGTTCACGTTGACCGCAGAATGGGAATATTTTGGCTACCTTGTATTAACGTAGAAGTTAAGTGAAAAGTAGTATGGACGAAAGCTACCTATGTTTTCACGTAGATCGGACGTGCATATTTTTGGAGTGTACGGCAGTATGAAAATTGAATAGAAGTTAAAAATGAGCGAAGGGCCATTAATGCGACAGTTTTTGAAGTCAAACGCACATCTTTTGCCTAACCCGTACGATGTACGCGGAGACTTGAAGTATGTCTTTAAGTCTACAGGAAATACTTCAAGTCTCCGCGTACATCGTAAGGGCATAGAGGTAACTCTAAGACAAGTAGGTCCCGAAGAAACGTGCTCAACTTTTTGGCTCACCTCTGGTACTATCTTCGGTCCCAAGCTTGTCGAATCACCCCTCGAAACATAGGAAAAACCAATAACCCCTCATTTTATCTGTCAAACTTTCATAGCGAATCAAAACAAACATTGTGTAGTACTAGAATTTCCACTATAATAGGGTACGTTAATCGTTTGCTTGGGACCAATAGGCTACTAAAGTAGTGAGCCAATTTAAAATCGTTAGTTTCGTATTGATTGTTGGTAAGGGGTAGGCAAAAGATGTGCGTTTGACTTCAAAAACTGTCGCATTAATGGCCCTTCGCTCATTTTCAACTTCTATTCAATTGTATGAAAAAAATTAAAGGGTTGTGTCCTAGACACGACCGCAGTATGACGTAGAACTACGCAAAATTGATGCATGTCATGCATTTTTGATTATTATACTTTATCTTAACTTTTTCAAGTATTTCAATGTTTCCGTTATGGTTCAAAACTCGCGACAATTCATATTAGCATAATCAGACCACGGTTCATCTTAAGATAATGGGGCTTATTACGGATGTCACTTCACGGTGAAAAGTTGTCACTTGTCGTCACGGTGAAGTGATTCCCATTTGATTTGTACGGTAATCACGGCTCTTATTCTGAGTATCACTTGCTTATCACCGTGTAGTGACACCCGTAATAAGGCCCAATGTATTTGAATTTAATGTAATGGTTAAGATTTGACAGAATTTCCCCTATATAACTACCTTGGGTTGATCAATGTTGAGTTATTTGCTGTGATCAATGTACACTAAATTTGACATCGACATCGACTACAATAGGAACTGACACTATTTCGTCACACATTTTTTGTTAATTTGCACCTCAGTATACTGCCGTTATACGCATAACTGTCACATGTTCTATGCAATCCTTATGCACCGTGGGACTCTTATGCGTATAACGGCAGTATAGTACACAAAAACGCCATGCATGTTGTGTTTTGCATAAATAACTTTTCGGCGTTTCGTATTAGGGGCTGTTCATTAACTACGTAGACAATTTTTTGGGACTCTTGCCACCTCCCTCCAACCCCCCACCCCCTCCTAGTTAATGAACCGCCCCTTAGTTGAACCGTACCCAAATCACCTTTAACCACTGACTTGCTCCTGCTTACTGTAGGACCAAGCGCCACGCCGTCCGAAGCGATAATGAGCAGAAGCGCGACAACAGCGCTGTTTTATATCTTTTCAGAACGATGTACAACCAAATGGTACTCGATTATGATGACTGTGTTTGGGAAAAACGCTTATTTCATAAAAACAGTGATAAAATTATCATTTGTACATTTATTTCAGCAAGTAATATCCTATCGATTGGCGTATTTGGATTTTAATTTTATCTATAAATGACAAAGTTACAAGCGTTCAAAACCGAGTTCAAAACCTAACTCTATTTCATCACACATATTTTTTGATTTGCACCCCAGTATAGTCGACAAAGACGTAGTTCTACGTCAAAAAAACGGTTCAAACGAAAACGAAAATATAAGTGAATGGTGAGGTTACTCGCTGCGAATGAGGTGAGGTTACTCGCTGTCACTAGTGAAGAAACAAAAGGTGACTCTCCGTGCAAATGAAATGGAGAGTCACATCACTCGCAGCTCAGAATAGGCGTCACTAGCTTTCGTCTATCTATTTTTAGATGGATTAATTGAAAAATCAATTGAACTATTTAAAATGTTTAATTAAAATTAAATTTAAAATTTAAATATTAATATTCAAGAGAACGAACGATGCTCCAAAGAGCATTGCCATGCCTGCCCTCTGAGTATAAGTGCAGGACAACCGTGTATTTAGAGCATAACGATGCACTTTTACATGAAGCGACTCATTTTAGTGCATTCACACTTGAGCGTGCTTAAGCATGCAGAAATCGCCATTTCAACCAATGCTTGTTGGAAATCGAAACTATCTTGGATCATAAGAAGCTGTCCGAACTGCTCCTATACCATCATTTTAGTCTGGGTCCCATCTCATTGCTCTATTCCGGGTAAAGATAAAGCGGACTTGTTGGCTAAAGTGGGCGCTATGGAAGGCGATATTTTTGATCGACAAATCGCCTTTGCAACTGGCAACAAAAAATGAATGAGAGTGATCTGGGAAGATGGTTACATTCTATTCTCCCACATGTGTCGAACAAGTCGTGGTTCAAAGGATTGGACATTAGCCGTGATTTTATACGTATCATGTCGAGCTCATGTAATCACTGCTCGTTAGACTCGCATTTCTTTCGAATCGGGCTCGCAGGCAGCAATTTGTGCGCTTCTGGTAGTGGTTATCACGAGATCGACCACGTCAGAGACATCTTGGCGAGCCGAGATCTCGATCATTGGAAATTAATTTATCTGTTTTTCAAAACGAGAGATCTGAGGATTCAGTAGTTAGTGTCATGTCGGTGTACCCACATGTTCGTCTTTTTCATGAGTATGTCGCTTAGTTCGAGATCAAGAGCATGCTCTCCAAACCTTGTTTTCTCAATCCCTACCCTGTCATCCATTTGTTACCCCTAACCTCGAGATAGCCGCGAGTAATCGGCCCCGCTTTACCAACGTTAGTTTTAAGTAATTTTGTAATCTAAACAATGAATATCGGCTCCGCAAAGCTACGGCAAATGAGCCTGGAAGAAAAAAACGCATTATATAGAACAAGGGGCTGTCCGTGGTGACCAAAATCCAAAAAATATCACGTCTGCACAAAGTCTCAGACGCAAAGAGGAAATCGCAATACGATCCGGGAGGATCTTTGCTTCTATGGAATCCCAGTCCCTCCTGGAAGCAAAAGGCTTTCAAACTGGTAAACGTCAATAAAAACCATTCCGGTTGACTTTTAGCAACCACTCTAGAGTAACGTAAATGTTTATTTATTGAATATTGTTTTACTGCACTATGATATCATATATTATACTTTGCTCTTGCAATGCATCGTAGTAGTTGTTCTTTGAAGTTGGATATTAAGTGGTAGTGATCAAATTTGTGTAGGGTATGTATTGTATGCCGTTGTTAAGAGTCAACTAGTTTTACAAACCATTTAGAAGAATGCATCTGTGATATTTCGTACGTTCGTTTTCCAACTTGGTAGAGCCATTTCATCATTTGTTTCGCATAGTACGATTTTCTGATTTGATTCGATTTGTCTTTCTCGGTTGTACAATCTCGCAGTTTGCTTTTCTACATAAATATCAATCATTTTAACATAAAAATCATAAATTTTAGCTAAGTAAAATACAAGGTAGTATATATATGTAAAGGGTAAACGAAAGCTATTTCCACAGTACCTTGCACAAGCCACTCAACTCGAGTGCAAGCGCGCCGCTACTCCCTCGCTGGACAACTCCCGCGATGATCCCACGCTGCTGCAGTGACCTACCTTTTCTTCCGGCAGCATTTTCTTGTTTATCAAATCCTCCAGATCCGTATTCTATCTTACAGCGGATCCTGTTCTTTTCTCACTAGGCTCATATAAACAAGCAGCAATTTCTTACCATAATCTCGTTAGGATTTATTTTCTTACAAAAAATAATCGCTCTGACCTATGAAACACATACTAAGTAACTAATTGATAAATATTTCCTAATGTTTTTTTTTTGTTTGTCACTGAAACCAAATGATGAAACGCAACTACAAGGTCGTCTTCACTTAGTACATTAATATCACAGCCGTTTTTCTTGATGCTTAAAAGTTTTTGTTTAAGATTTGTTTTTGCTTATTTGTTTACGTTCTTTTGACAATTTTATTATGTAAGTTGTAAATAGCAGCGAATTTAAACCATTCTCTTCCGATCGCTGCTACAGTTGGTAAACGGGGTCAATCCCTCTTCATGGGAGAAAAGAAGACATTTCCGTGCCAACGTTTCATTAGGGCGAAACTGCTTTTGTAAACAATGACTTCAACCGTCGATTTCTCACTCATGCAAATTAACGGTACCAACTGGTAGAGGAAACATTCCTCAACTAGAATAGCCATTGTCTACAAAAGTAATTTCGCTCTTTTGAAATGTTGGCACCGATTTCTTAATCAAACAACAAAAGGTAAGAACCGGTGTATGGTTACATTCGAGTTTAAATATATTAAAAATCCGGATTTAGAAACCTAAAACTGATTTTTGATCCATGCCTTTTGCTTAGCACAAACCAACTGGTAAACGAAATAATTCGTTAAAGAAAAATAATAAACCTTCTCATACTTCATAGAGTTAGCTCAATGTTTACAAACAATGGGAAGGTTTGATGTTTAAACCGTCCTAAAAGTGATAATTTCATAATATATGCACTAGAATGTTGATGTAGCAAGTATTTAAGCATCCTCGGCAGGAGGTGCAGATGCATCTGTTGAAGCTGCTGCTGCTGCTGCTGCTGGCGGTGCTTCCATTTGTTGTGGAGGTTCCGAAACTGGAGCAGCTGGTTCCGGTGCTGGGGTGGGAGCTGCAGCTATAACTGGGGCTGGTGCCGGTTCCGGTTTTGGAGCAGGTGCTTCAAATACCGGTTCTGGAGCAGGGGCTTTAAACACCGGTTCAGGGGCAGGAGCCACAACAGCTGGTGGAGGAGACGGCGAGTACAACTGCGGTCGATGCTGTTCCGGAGAAGGTTGTCTTGGCTCCGGTTTCGGTTCCGGTTTCGATTCCGGTATCGGTTCCGGCTTCGGATCCGGTTTCGGTTCCGGTTTCGATTCCGGCTTCGGTTCCGGTTTCGATTCCGGCTTCGGTTCCGGTTTCGATTCCGGTTTCGGTTCCCATTTCGCTTCAAATTTCAGTTCCGGCTTCGGTTCCGGTTCCGGTTTCGATTCCGGTTCCCGTGCTGGAGGAGGAGGAGGAGGACTGGGATTTCTCATCGAATCCTGTTGCTGTTCTTTATGTTGCTGCTGTTGCTGTTCTCCGGAATGCATCTCATCAAACAGTGGAGTTCCACCGCCGCCTTGCTTTTTACCACCTTCGCTTCGTTCCTCCCGCGGTTCCCATTCTCCACCGTCATCAAGTCGCGCTTCGGACTTTTCCTTCGGTGGACCACGCTCATTACCGCCACCGCTCTGTTTTTCCTCCTGTGGCTTTTCCTGCGGCTTCTTCTGCTTATTCTCCTTCGGTGGATCCGGATTACGTTTCTTCACCACCGGAACTTCATCATCCCAGTTTTCATCATTTTGATCCCATCGCAGTCCGCCTCCACCTCCGCCTCCTCTACCACCCTGCTGCTGCTGTGGTTGTTCATTGCGCTGCTGCTGTTGCTTTGGCTGCGGCTGCGGCTGCGACTGCGGCTGTTGATTCTGTTGCTGCTGATCATCTTGATCTCCACCAAAATCATTGTTTCTCGGATTTCTCTGATCATTGCGCCTTGCACCGAAGCGTCCGCCACGGCCACCTCCGTCGCCATCACCACCATCATTGTTATTCCAATTGCCACGACCCCCGCGATTACCGCGATTACCACCACGATTCCCTGCATCGCCGCCACCATCGTTCCAATTGTTCGGACGACGATTGTTGTTGAAGTTGCCTCCGTCGCCACCACGATCGAAGAAGCGCTGCTGTTGATCGTTATCTCCAACAGCCTGGTCGTTGTTGGTGTTGGGGTTGGGGTTGGGATTGTTGTTGTTGTTGTTCCCGAAGAATGGGTCTATATTGAGCAGCGACATGATGTTCATCGCTTGCATGTCACCACCTTCTGAAAGCGCATGGTAAAATATGGTTTGAGGGAAAGAGAAACGGAAGGTAATAGTCAATAAATTAAAGCATACAATTCTTTCAGTTATCTATTGCGAATACGCTTTACGATCAAAGGCATAACTCAGTATTACGACATCTAACTCATATTTAAGGTCTGTTAACTCAAGTTCGCAAAAACGTAGATAGACTTTTACTTAAATATGAGTAAATGTCATTCATATATGAGCAAATGTCACTCAGAAACAAAGCTAGAAGTGGAACATATGACTAGAAATTACGAGTGAAGATCATTAGGGCAGTTCAAAAGAATCCTGGGATCGGTTTTCGATCGTACCATGCCAGGGAGTTTGATAAAGGAGATGATCAACCCAATTCGATACAATTCGTGTGAGATAATAATATGCCTTATTGCATCATTTTTTTCCTCTACTGAACTTGATCCAGAACCGATTCTGAAGGAACTTGTCCGGGAGATAAAAAAAAGTCCATATGTACTCCCAAAGTATCCACGATGGACATCGTTTGCTTTTCAAACAAAAATGCATTTGAATTGAGGTGTCACAAAACATAAATCGTCTATCCAAGTGATCAAGTACGAACGTTTTTTTTAACTAGTTCGTTTATTTACTAGGCTCAGTCGTGTGTGACACTTTGCGGAGCCAAAAACCAGTAATGTTTGAATTTACATTTTAAACAGCAGTACCCAACAAACAATTTTAGCTGCCGATCAGCTTATACAAGCAAAAATTAGCTGCAGAAGGCAAATTTTGGCTGTATAAGCTTATCTGCAGCTAAAATTGTTAGTTGGGTAGTTCTAGGTTAGTATTGGGTACCAATTACACGTGGCGGGCTCGAGGTAACGATTTCGATTGGAAAGAGCTAGGTAGGAAACTGGTTTCTGAAGCCTTCTTCAGATACTACTCTCGGGCGGTTGACCTAATCCTGGCTGGGCAGGGGCAAGTAGTACAGAAACAGGAGGATAATAAGACTGAGACACAATGGCTGGAAATTGTTTGGAAAGGAGAGGATGGTCACATCAAACTCTAACATCAGACAAACAAAGGAATTCGTAGATCGCCTGCATGTAGGGAAGATCACGGATTCCCAATACATCTCTTACTTCACGGAACGGTTGTCTACCTCGGGCCACTAGGGTTGTTGATGTAGTTTACTACCTTGCTACTCAAGAATTTCAAGAATTAAGAAGATGTTAAGCGTCGAATAACAGACTTAGGCTGTGAACCATTTGCTGAGTTAAATTTAACTCGTGCTTAGGCTCTGATGTTAGTAGTGGTCATTTTATACGATAGATGAGGAGATGAAAGTATAGAATTGATAGTTTCGTTATAGAGTAGAAAGCGAGCAAGGACAACTTTGAGGAAGGTACGAATCGGGTTGATCATCTCTCTTTAGCAAACTCTCCAGTTGGAGAAGAATGGTGAGGGGTGTCCCCCCGCCACCACTGGCAAAAAGAGATGATCGCCGATTTGCTCATGTACCAACGATGTGTAGATTGTACCGCACTCAAGTCGTTATCTGAAGGGGGAGTAGTAGAAATTTGCAAGAAGAAGTTCCTAATCTGGCAGGCGATTTGCGGATGTGGTAAAAGAGGCGCCTCCTTCATCACTTCCGGAACAATCAACGGTGCGATTTACATGGAAGAGTGCCTTAAGAAGTGTCTCTTGCCATTCATAAGGAAGCACAAAGAATCAACTCTGTTTTGGCCTGATCTAACATCCCTTAACTACGTAGTTGCGATAGTGAAGATGTAAACCCATATTCTCGTTAATGTCCGGACGTGTTTACCATACATAAATCTTTTTATTCGATGTTGTGTGGGGATGGCCCAACAAACATTGAAAGCTGAATAAAAGCTTATTCGGGCAAACATTTGCTTCTTCAGCTAAAAAATGGCTTATTCAGCTTTTAAAAAGCTCAAATCGTTTGTTGGGGGGTTTCGGGTGTGTACGAGCATATGGGTGATAATATTATGTTTACGTTAGAATAAAATTGAAACGTTGATAAATGAAGGAGAAATCTGAAGCAACTCGACTGAAGGGTCCAATCACAGTAGTCTAGATAATAATTTGATTTCAATAAAATCAGTTTGCATCAGTCACTCGACAAGTACAGTTGTCTTTCTTTTTCCCTGGAGATCGAGTCACTTCGAGAGAATGCCACTTGGGAAGTAGTCAGACTCGCCGCTGACAGGAAGGCCATCGGAAGCAAGTGGATTTTGAAGAAGAAGTTCGATGATAACGGTAACATACCGTATGCGTGATAATGGTTGCACCATCGTACAAATAAGGTTCCCGTTTCACCTGCACTCAAAAAATAAATCACATTTCCGATGGAAAATAACCATTAGAATTTCACATAACTTTCATGTGATCTCATAATTGGGAATCGCACCACGAAATTACATGAACCTTATGTGTCCAATGAAGCTTATGTGATTTATCACATAGATTTCATGCGATCATGTGAATGTTATGTGAATTTCAGATAAAAATCATTAAATTTGTTATTAGAAAAATATCATGTGCGTTCCCAATGGAAACTACATGAAAACTTTTTTCAGTGTGTGCATACAATGCCTTGGTTTTCTTCGCATGCACGTAACCTATAGCTCATACCGTAGCAGGCTGTGTTAAAAAATGATTTACTTAGTTTGACAGTTGGACCATGACGAAGTGGCAGCGTATTCGTGATTTGTCCCACGCGCAAATGTCGCAAAAAGGCATTTCAATCGCCGTGGGAGTGTCCCGGTGAACCGTCAAAAGGGTTTTAGACCGAGAAAAAAGGACAACTATCCGCGAAGGTGGCCACAGGTCGTCCGAGGTCAGCTCGGGTTCCGAGGGTTATCGCTGCTATCAAAAGGCAGATTCGGGTGAATCCAGTGCGTTCAATAAGGAAAATGGCAAAGGAACAAGGATTCAGTGACTTTACGGCACGGAAGATCGTAAAGGAAGATTGCGGGGCGAAGTCGAGGGCACGGAAAAAAAACTCACATGATTACCAACCGCATCTGAGAGCTACGAGTTTAACGATGCAAGAAAATCTTGAACTTCATTAAGCGAAAAAATCCGATAATCCTGTTCACCTACGAGAGCATGTTTACCATCGATCCCGTATCAAATTCCAGAACCGACCGGTATATTAGTTCTCTTCCGGTAAAAGACGAGGCCGACGAGCACAAGAACGTGTATCTGACCAAGCATCCTGCTAGCGTTATGGTGTTTGGATTGGTGGCTTCCGATGGCAAAAAAAATAGACCCGGTGTTTATTCCAGAAGGCGACAAGGTCAACACGGAGGTCTACATCGGGATTTTAGGTAAGTATGTTCTTCCGTGGATCAAAGAACAGTACGGTCCGAAGCCAAATGTTGTATTTCAACAAGATGGGGCTCCGTGCTACACCTCGAACCGCACTTGTGGTTGCAGGAACAGCTTCCGTTCTGGGCGAAGGATATGTGGCCGCCTTCCAGCCCCGATCTTAATCCGCTGGATTACTCAATATGGCGCGTCATGAAGACCAAGGCCTGTTCTAAACGCCACCCAAGTACAGCAAGCCTCAGACAAACATTGACACGCACCTAGAGAGAAATGGATCCAGACTACATTATTAGAACCTGCCGTGCATTCCGGAAGCCTGTGGAGGCCGTAATTGAAGCAAGTGGAAACTCGATCGATGATTAACATAGTTTAAAACTCTGAGAAACATTCCCCCTTTGAATAAATAAAAAAAAATCGAAAACGAAATTTTTGAGATTTTTTTTAATTTTGACATTGCTTAATGGTGCAAACATTATCACACATACGGTACAAAATCTAGAGATCATAGTCAAATACCCTTCAATGTTGGTATTTTTGGAATCTTGGTGACGTCTAGAGACCGTATTTGACAATGTTTCCCACATTGTTTATACCAGGAGCCGCCATCTTGGATTTTAAAATGGCGTCGGACATCGACGTCTGGTCTCTAGACGTCGCCCGATTCCAAAAATACCGATATTGAAGTGTATTTGACAATTTCACTCAGATTGTTTATACCATGAAGCCGCCATCTTGGATTTCAAAATGAAGTTGGACATCGATTTCTGGTCTCTAGACCAACACGATTGTAAAAATACCCATATTGAAGCGTATTTGACAATGTTTCCCAGATTATTTATACCCGGATTCCGCCATCTTGGATTTCAAAATAGCATCGGACATCGATTTTCGGTCTCTAGACGTCATCTCGATTCCAAAAATACCCATATTGAAGGGTATTCAACAATATTTATCAATTATAATGTAACAGGAAGCCGCCACCTTGGATTTAAAAATGATGGCGAACATTGTGTCCGGTATTTACACGTCATCTTCGTTCTTAAAATATCCATACTGTAAGGACAGACATCAATTTCCGGCATCTACACTTCGTCCCCGGTCCGAAATATAAATACTAATTCAGATTGGAATGTTTTTTATGTTGACCATTTGGGAGGTGAATTGTCCGTTGTTCAGTAAAAAATTTATAATTTCGAACTATCATTGATACAGATAGAATCCCCATCTCTATCATGTGATAGTTCAACTATCAGAAGGACTATTTATCATGATTGCAATGGAAAATTATATTGTTTCTATCTCTCCTATCCCATCATTGATTCTATCTATCATTTTTTTTCTATCATGATAGTATCAGAGATGGAATAGGGGTTGTATCATGATAGACTGAGAGATAATCTACCAAATAGAAACCTATCACTGTGATAGGTCTCTATCTGATAGATGATATTATCACCATTTATCAGATAAGTTTGATGCCTGATCATCACTATCATCATCATCTAGTTTGGTGAGTAAACATGTGTGTGCCATTTTTATCGAATACACCCTTTTAGTGCTACTCAGAGAAGCAAAAGTGAAAGATACTGAGACTTATGGGGTGTTTACACTAGAAATACTAGAAGGAGAGATGGGCGGAGAGAATGTTTTGAGCCAAATGAACTGTCAAAATCTGAGTCAAACGACCATTCCCATTAGAATTTTTCCGAGGATTTCTTATTCTTACTAGATTAAATTTGAGAGTATTGCAATCGAACAGAAATTTAATCACCTCTTTATGTTTCGTGTGCTTCTCAAATACAACTAGTTTTTGGAATCAAAAGCAATATTCTAACTCTATTGATTAATTGATCTTAGTTTGTTAATTAATGGCACCAATGTGCAAAATATTGCGATGAAATCAATTATTAATTTGCACGTAAATCGAATCAAAAGTAAAAGTCATGTGAAATGCTAAGCTTTAGCAAGGGTTGCAAGATAATTTAGATACAAATCCCTGCTGCCGAATTGTATTTTGTTTTCTCCGCCCATCTCTCCCTCTGAGTATTTCTAGTAATGAGCCAGCTGCTAGCAATGTAAACAGGGTATCAGCGTGCTAGTTGGCTAGTACACTAGCGTTAGCAAATCCGCACAGATGTAAACACCCCATTAACACCGTTGGAGCGGCAACTCTCAAGCCAAACGGTTGACGTTTTTACTTTACTCGCTTCGTTGTAGTGCTCAACGTGCTCGTCAGACAGTTTGTATTCGTAGTCTCATGCTCTACCGTCGTCTCTTTTACACAACACAAACGGTATAACAACATTCGATCAAAAAGAAAAATAATAAAATAACTAGGGTAGAGCGCACTTCGTCGTAATCGCCTATTTCCGTTATATCGATCAGAAAAGATCAATAATATCAATGATTTCACCGTGCACAAATCAATAAGATGTTTTTTGTCCGATGCGTTAGTTCATTAGCTACAACATAAATCCTATTAGAGCGCATGAATATTTACGCTCATTGTTCTCAAAACAAAAGAAAGCGCTCCTAGCGAATTCCATTTTTCTACGTTTATCCGTGGGACGAAGAAAATCTAATGGCGTTTCAATGCGCTTGTAGGACGGATTTAGAATCAAGAAGCAGTATTAGATTTTAAACAATACCTCAACAATTTGTGACTCTTTATCAAATCCAATCCAAAAATATGGAAAGGTTAATAAATTTAGAATTTGACAGAAATATTCCATTTTTTGTTCAAACCCGTTCAAAAAAGAGAGGTAAAACCCGGGTTGTGCTTAGTAGGACGAAAATTAGATCGAAAGTCTTATCATAAATTCAGCTGCAACCTTTCCCTTTTGTATTTGGCGTTTTGAATGCTAGATAAGATAAGAACCTCCTTCATGAAACTATGTGGTAAAATTAGCGCGAAATCTGTTTGCTTAGCAGTGGTTATCAAAAGAGAAAGTCGATGAAGAGAATCGTTCAAAGCAGATAGGACCATTTGAAATGTTCATCGAGATATGAGATATGACAATGGGGCTTATTACGGATGTCACTTCACGGTGAAAACTTGTCACTTTTCGTCACGATGAAGTGATTACCATTTGATTTGTACGGCAATCACGGCTCTTATTCTGAGTATCACTTCATTATCACCGTGTAGTGACACCCGTAATAAGGCCCAATTCCTCAATTTAGTGCAAATTAAACCACTTCTGATCAGAAATGTTATTACTAAGACATTGTTGCTTGCTATTTTCATAATTCACACCAGCACAACATCAGCAGCTCTTATCATAGGAAAAACTAAAATACATACATTCGTGACAGTCTTCGGTGACAGTGTCGTTTGACACACGCTAACTTGAAAGTACCCATTAATGGTTGAAAAAGACCCATTTTGAAGAAAAGTGGCTTAACTCATTAAATGAGTAAATTTTTTACCCATTAATGAGTATCTGTTACCCATTAATGAGTAATTGTTAATCATTAATGGGTAACAGATACTCATTAATGGGTAAAATTGTTTAATCATTAATGAGTTAAGCCACTTTTCTTCAAAATGGGTCTTTTTTTACTCATTAATGAGTACTTTCAAGTTAGCGTGCAGAGCTCTGTCATATCCAGAACAACATGTGAAAAGGACATACAAGCTTTTTGTAAACAAACCTTTGTAGGCCCTTTTCTCACCAACCGAGGGTCGCCCACGTAAACCAGCAATATCATCGGGAAGGGGAAAGTGTCCCCTACCCGGTGATGTTAAAGGTTTGCGTTGGTGTCATATGGGTGGCGAGAAAAGGGCATAAGAAGGTTTGTTTACAAAAAGCTTGTATGCCCTTTTCATATGTTGTTCTGGATATGACATTTTAGTTTGGTACTGTAATTTGATAGCTTGTATTGCAAAGGCAGTCAATTATATCACAGAAAATGCGTCGACTACGATGACCGCTTACAAGACTGTCTCCAGCACAAAAAGAATGAAATGTACACGGCGAATGAAAACGACCCAAATTTGAGTTTAGTTCACTCATAATCGCCAAAAGTGCAGGTACTCAGCGATGAGTAAAATTTGTCTCATGGTTTCCTGTGGACAACCTAAAAAATCTGCCGGAAAATGAGGAAATTGACGAAAATTTTATTCAGTCTCGGAGTAGTATCAATAGACCGAGTGAATCCAATCTTTACTTTTCTCAAATTCGGAAATTTTTCCCTGGAAAATTCTGGAAAAACCTGGGAAAACATGAGGCAAATTTACTCATCGCTGAGTTCCTGCACTTTTGGCGATTATGAGTGAACTAAACTCAAATTTGGGTCGTTCTCATTCGTCGTGTACTGCACGATTGAAAATGCTCTTTCACTGAGTGGTGCACGGCGAATGAGAACGACCCAAATTTGAGTTTAGCTTACTCATAAATCGCATAAAGTGCAGGAACTCAACGATGAGTAAATTCGCCTCATGTTTTTCCAGGTTTGTCCAGAAACAAATTCTCGAATAAAAGAAAAGTAAAGATTTTATTTACTCAATCTATCGCTACTACTCCTAGACTGATTAAAATTTTCCTCTTGTCCCCCCGTCTCGATGAGTCTCATCGTCCCACTGGTCACCCACCATAGCCGGTCGAACTCCGGACGAAGCTAGAACAGCACTACCGTTCATACTGGCGACAACGCTCTGATGAGACAACGAAACCCTACCCCAAGCTCCTCCCCTGATCCTATCCTTCGAAAATGTACCCTTCTAACCTCGAGTAAGCCGCGAGTAATCGGCCCAACTCCTACTAGACATAGAATTAAGTGAATTTTGTTACACACAGCGAACAATGAATTATCGGCTCCGTAAAGCTAACGCGATTGAGCCTTCCAAATAAACGAACTAGATAAAAAAAAAATTCCTCATTTTCCGGCACATTTTTGAATTAGTGTTCAACAGAAAAACATGAGGAAAATTTACTCATTACTGAGTTCCTGAACTTTTGGCGATTATGAGTAAACTAAACTCAAATTTGGGTCGTTCTCATTTGCCGTGTGCAAATTCACTCGAAATGGTTGTCAAAAAATCCAACACCAAGGCTTACGTCTCGTTCGAAAGATAAAGTATTAGGATCAACAGTCAAAATTTGCTCCTTAAATTAAATTGTAAAGTAATAAAAGAAGTGTATCTTAAAGGTTTGCCAAATAAACATTGCAATAAACACTATTGATAGTAAACATCCTCAACAAAGATAAATGTTTAAATCAAAATAAACGGGTCTGAGGGAACAACGTAATCCACTCAAAAATAGTGTTTTCTAATGCAATAATTCTGGTTCATTTATGATTGTTGGGACACAACTCGAACGTTTGCCCCATTATAGGTAATTCATGCTTCCTGATAACATCAAAAGTCTGATATCCCGAAACACACTTTTGCCTATAATTCTACGAAAACACCACCAATATTTGTGATTTTTGTGTGGAAAGTATGGTTCTAAAAGACCATATTTCGCCTTCCGATTCTAGCCTCGTCGTAAAACGAATTCGTCAATGACCAAGCGCAAACACACGTTACTATCATCTTCGCACTAACCTGGGCCACCCTGTTGGCGATTCTGCATAAATCCACCGGCGCCACGGTTGTTATTAAATCGCCCCCCGCGTGGGTTATTATTGTTATTGAACCGACCACCTTGCTGGAAGTTTCCGCGGCGACCACCGCCAAACTCATCGCCTCCCTGATTGTTGAACTCTGCTAAATACAAAGATCATTAATTCATTAATTCCCCCGTGACCAACCGCTGCGTCAAACTTACCATCTCCTTCATTCATGTTGCGGCCGCCTCTAAAGTTTCTTCCACCGCCAAACTGCGGCCCCTCGTTGCCTTCTCCGCTTCTCTGGGTAAAGTCTGCTCCAGCCAATTCCCGCAGCCTTTCCGATAGTGGCCTATCATCACGGCCGCTATCACTGCCGCTACGATCCCCACCGCCGCGGCTAACGCTCCGATCGTGACTTCCCCAACGACTCGGTCGTTCGGGCCTATCGCCTCCTTCATTGTCTTTGAAATTTCTCCTTCCGCGACCATCTCGTTCAAATTCACGACCGGCACGATCGCCCCGATCACTTCTATCTCCACGACCTCCACGATCCCTATCTCTACCACCTCCCCTGCGATCGAAATCACCTCGATTTCTGCGATCCTGATCCTGCTGATCCGGGTTATCATTTTGATTGAAACCGCCACGATCACCTCCATTATCCTGTTGGTTTCGATTGAATGGAAGCGAATTCGGTGGCATCAGCGGCGGAGGTGGTTGGTTGAAGAAGGCCGCCGGATTGGACGGTGGCATTGCAACACCACCGCCACCGGGGGGGTGAGCTCCATGACTTTGGTTCGAATTTTCATCTTCCATTTCGATGTCCATTTCGTCACCAACACCGGCAACGTGCGGCGGCGCCACCTGCGAAGGTGGCGGAGGTGGCAGAACACCAAAGCCGGAAATTGGAAGCGGTGGAGGATTGTTCATTCCACCGGCCATCATGAGGTTCGGTGGTGGAACGTTGATACCCAAACCGGAAACGATCGGGAGACCCATTATGGGCAGCCTGAAAGAAAAGGGGCAATTGTTTTATAATTTTTGGCATGTGTATTGGGGTACACTTACCTAGGAACTGCCGCCATGGGGAACGTTGGCAAGCTGATTCCGGCTAACATTGCAGCCGTCGGCGGTGGTTGGCTCGTGTCGACCGCGTACAGCGGATTGATCAAGCCAGCCGGATCATCGTCCTTCTTCTTGGAAGCATTGATAATCTTGTCCTTCATCCACAGGGGCATCGTATCCTCATCGAACATGCCGCCCTCTTCCAAGCTTTCCATATCGGTATTATGAGTAAGCTTGTTCCACGGGATGTAGCTGCAACCTGTGTTGGGGTAACCGTAGTAATGTGTTAGACTAGAGGGGGGAAAGCTTTCTCAGACAGCGCTCGTACCTAAATCAATGTCCCAGTAATCCTTCCATTCCTTGCTCTTGACGCCCTTTCCGGTGGCCCAAGAAATGGTTATGGTCCGCCCATGCATTTTGTGATTCTTCAAGCTTTGCATGCTCTTGTAGGCATCCTGGCGCCGGTTCATCACGATAAATGCGCACCCACGTGGTGGAATCAGATCGATACTAACAATGTCACCATACTTGCCGAACGTATCGGATAGCTCCTCTTGTTGGACCAGCTTGGACAGGTGGCCAACCCACAGAGTCGTACTGCACACTGCAGTTGGTAGAAAGAACACGGAAATCTCTCGTTAGTAAGCCGTCTTCTCTCGTCTCGCTCGGAAAACACGTTGCAAACAACAATCGTAATCACTACTCTTTTCTTTCAAATTGGAACGATCGCTTCTGCACGACGCTTGTGCATGTGTGTGTCTATCCTGTTTTCTTCATTTCGGATGAATGAGAAGGACAAACACACGCACAGACGTCCAGGCAGCACTCATAATCTTACCACTGAGGTGTTCCTTCTTAATCTCCGGCAGTCCTCGCTTCTTACGTTCCCTCTCGCGCTCCTTATCGCGTTCCTTGTCCTTCTGGGTGGTGCGCTCGCGTTCCCGATCCCGGGACGATGCACGACCTCCACGGCCACGTCCTCGTGAGTGCGACCGGCTTCGGCTCCGGGAACGTGATCTCGACCGAGTCCGGCGACGGGTACGGTCCCGATCACGGCGGTCACGGGGCGAACGGGAACGGCTCTTCCGGCGACGCGACGTCGTAGCTGGCTTGTTGTACTGATCCGCCGCCGTGCTTCGGGGTGACGAGCTGTGCGTATCGCTGATGACCTAGATATTGGCGAGAGAGAAACGATAAAGAAAAACAGAGTTTCCACCAGATGTGCAGAAACCCGAGAGAAAGAATACATTTAAAAATGGTTATTTGCTGGCCTAGGAAGAAGAGAGTAGGATTACTAATTTTTGTTCTTTACGAGAGACGAACGAGAGCTTGCAACGTGTTTTCTTGAGAGCTTCTTAGTTTTGGGTAGGGTACTGGTACTGGTTCCCAATTGAGACGACGAAGTATGTTTGCGTGTGGTTCTCCGATGGGTTTTTTTTTGGTTAAATCAATCCAATCAATCGAAATAGAGAGAATAAGTGGATCAAGGACTTACCGGTGTTGAAGAACGGCTTACAACTCGTAAGCCGATCTTGAGGGGTGCACGTGTGGACAAACGTACGGTGCCGACTCGATGGATTGCAAGTGTTAGTCTACTTACTTATAGCCGTTTGCAATATATCGCGGGGTTTGGGTTTAGATAACAATATAGATACGGTTTGGTACTGAATTCTACGCTTATACATGAGAGACTTAGTCCCACAGGTTCCAAGGATTTGTTGCAACAATCTACATAAAATACCAGTAATCTAGCTGCGCGAGTACACAAGGTACCGGATGTAGCAGCACCTGAAGAATACAAACTCATATTTGTCCATATGAACTAATTGCAAAAATGCCCGCTAATATAACTTTCCTTAACAGCTGTTTGGCATCAAGGATCAGACCTTTCTGCCATCCTTAAAAGTTTATGAAATAATGCATCATTATCTACTCCGACCTCTCGATAGTTGTAAGCGTACAGGGCCTAAAAGCTCAAACACATACAGTGTATCGCAAAATTGAGCGTACACCTGAATGGACATTTCTTTGAAACAGTTTGAGTGGATAGATTTTTGAAAACTTTTCTGGTGGTTGAACAACTATTTATTGGTTTATCGGTATAGTTTAGAACTTTCTTGGCAGAGCCGGTATAATCGGAGTAATCGTACTGGACCTCAAAATGTTCATTGAATTCTTTCCAAAATTCCCTTTGGATTCTCTTTCTTCTCTTGGAATTCTCCTTAAAAATTCCTTAGACAGAACTCTCTTTGGAATTATTTTGGAATTCACAGAATTCTCGCGTCACTTTTCAAAAGCTCCTAAGTAACAAATGTAAACAAATCGAGTTAAGCGATACAAACTATTGCTCTTCTATCATTGTATGTGATACAAAAATACCCATCCAAATACACTTTCATTTATTTAAGATAATCATAGGTCAAAAATTGTCCAATGTATAGTTTGAAATGATGTGTACATGATTATTACTTCGGTCATTCGGACTGCCTAACATGATGTGGTGCTCATTTTCTAAAGGCGGGGCCAATCTAAGTTCACTCTCTACTCTGAAGTCTGTGAAAGGGAATCTAGTATCATGTAGAACAAAACGTCCAATGTAACATGTCCGATGTACAACTTGACTAGTCAAAACGTCCTATGTGGGTTTTTCTATACTGTAGCATAAAATTCAAAGTAAAACTATGATTTTACCGTTTCTACTGAATTTTAAACGATATTTTTCACTGACTACATTAAAAATAGCATTGCAAAATTATTTTGTTTCTAAACAGTTAAATTAATAATCTGACGAACTTCAACTTCGATTTTCTGAAAATGGTGGATATGTTACATTGGTCTATTTGAAAAAAGAAGCGAGAATTATGTTGAAATATCCTTTGAATGCTAATCAGCATTATACCTTGGAATTCTTCTTACGTTTCATCTGGAGTTCAACAAAACTAACTTGAAATGAATCCTCAGATTTCAGTTCAAGTTTTCCTAACAATTCTTCTCTTGGAATTGTTCTCTGAATTCCCTTGAAATTATCCCTGGAGTTTCTTGAAAAGTATCTTTAAACTTATTTATTAAATTTCATAAGCTGAGATACTTTTGCAAAGCCCTTATTTTTTATCTGGGTTCTTAAAAATGAAGTTTGAGTAATTTTAAAACGCGCGATTTTTAACTTTTTTCGTAGTGAACGGATTTTAGTAAAATTAGTAGTATATGAAAGATCTCGTTTATGACCACAAATGAGTAAAAATGAATACTTTTTAGGCATTTTTTTCTACAATAGCTCTAACTTTTTACACACTCAACAACATAAGCCGATTACTAAACTTGAGTGGCCAGTGAATTTGAAAATCCCGGGTTTTCCGGATTAAATTACAAAAACTTTTATTATATACCAATCCATCTCACGTTCACGCGCTCCGTTGTTTTAGAAGTTTTCTCGGTATTCGCTTGATATAAATTATAAGTTTTTTTTCTCACTAAGTGACTCCTGGCATAGTTCCCGGTAAATTGATCGAAAAGTGAGTTTTTTTTTTTGTAGTAGAAAGTGTCATTTTCGGATCGATTAATCCGTGCTATTGGTAATTCGCAAACCAATTTGGGCATCATCGTTGCGTGGTCACGCATACGCGCTCACGCATACCCGCTCACGTATCATCATCATCGAGTGTGAGCACCCGTTTCTACATCTACATCGTTCATCAATCATCGTGCGCCTGTGTGCGCTGAGTACCGAGCCTCGATCAAGTGCACCACAACGAAGGTCATCCACGCAGCGCGTCTCTTCCAGCCAAGGTTGCAAAGACTCATTTCAGCTAAAACAATGTTTTTCTAAATTATGAAATAATTAGATGCCATGATCAAATTTTGAATTGGTAGGATACAAGAAGAGGTTGCAAAGAATGTGTTTGACATATTAAACCTGTTTATTTCACTCCATGAGAGTCACAATCAGCGATTTTTCACAAACTCACTCACTCACTCAGCGATCAGCAAATCGCTGATTGTGACTCATAGAAAGCAAAATTTACAGGTTTTATGTTTCCAACGCATACTTTGTAACCTCTTCTTGTAAGTTACAAGTAAAACATGCCATAATACCATCTTTTGGTTTTATTATTCCGAAAAACATTATTTAAGCTGAAATGAGTCTTTGCAACCTTGCTTCCAGCCATCTGCGTAAACGCCTACACATATAACGCTCGGTGGTAGTAGTATAGAATTATCAGATAACTTTTTGTTTTTTTTTTGTTTCTTTTCCTCCCCCATTAGTTAAATTTTCATTTTCTATTTCTGTGTTTGTAGTGTTTCTGTGTATTGTGTCTGTGCGTTCAGTGGGAGAGCGTTTTGCGCTCCCACTAGTTGAACAAAATGGATGTTTTGTCAGAAGACGACATGGATGACCATTCATCTCAGAAAAATGACGATGTCATCCATGGTTCGTCGTCTCAGTCTGACAATGGGCAGGCTGAGAAAAGCTCCAGATTGCGGGCCTACCCGAATGACTCGACTGGCCCATGGGTTGTCTATTTTCAGCCCAAAAACAAACCCTTGAATGTTGTTCAGATATCTGATGATCTGACAAAGCGATTCTCTGCCGTGACCGAAATAACGAAGGTTAGGCACAACAAACTTCGTGTGACCGTCGCTAACCTGAAACAGGCCAATGAAATTGCTGTTTCCCAGTTTTTCACACTGGAATATAGGGTGTACATTCCAGCCTCTGATGTGGAGATCGAAGGCGTGGTCACTGAGGCGAGCCTGAACCCCGAGATACTGGAGAAGCAAGGGGTTGGCCGATTCAAGAACCCCTTGCTTCCTCCGGTAAAGATACTGGCCGTTCATAGAATGAAGTCGGTATCGCTCAGCGAGGGTAAAAAGAGTTTTACCCCCACAGACTCGTTTCGGGTGACCTTTTCTGGATCTGCCCTTCCTCAATACATCGAGCTGGGAAAACTTCGTCTTCCTGTGCGGTTGTTTGTACCTCGGGTCATGAACTGCCAGAATTGTAAGCGGTTGGGACATACGGCCTCCCACTGCGGCAACAAGACACGCTGCTCCACATGCGGGGAGAAGCATGAGGATGGCGCCTGCGCAGCTACTGCACCAAAATGCGTGTACTGCAATGGAACTCCTCATGCTCTCTCGTCGTGCCCGGCGTACAAACAGCTCGGGGACAAAATGAAACGCTCCCTTAAGGAACGTTCCAGGCGGTCTTTTGCAGAAATGCTTAAGACAGCCAAGCCATCGACCAACGAAACAAATCCCTTCGCTCTTTTGTCAGATGACGAGTCTGGCTCTGACTTGGCTGAGGAGGGAGTTTCTTTCAGTTTTCCGGAAGGTTCTGCCCGGAAACGAAAACGCATCCGTTCGCGGAAAATTGCAGATCAAGAACCCCAAATCAGCTTGCCCAAATCAAGGAGTGGTGGAAAAAGAAGACTTCTACTCCTCCTGGATTCCGCAGAACTGATTATACCCAGGATTTTCCACCTCTTCCGGGGACATCCAAAACCCCTGATGCCCCAATTTTAAGAACAGAAACCCCTTCTTCATCTGGGCTGTTCTCATTTGATGACATTGTGGACGGTATTCTCAAATACCTCAACATTTCTGATCCTCTGAAAAGCATTGTCCTCACATTGCTTCCGACTGTGAAATCCTTCTTGAAGCAATTGACTTCAAAATGGCCACTTCTTGCAGCTATCATCTCCTTCGATGGATAATTTTCCAAACGAGGTCGGGGATTTGATCACTGTTCTACAGTGGAATTGTCGAAGTCTTATTCCGAAATTAGATTCGTTCAAGTATTTAGTCCATAACAATAATTGCGATGCATTTGCCCTCTGTGAAACATGGCTCTCTTCAGAAATTGATCTCCCTTTTTTTGATTTTAACATTATTCGATTGGATCGTGAGGATTCACGTGGAGGAGGGGTACTTTTGGGGATCAAAAAGTGCCATTCCTTCTATAGAGTGAATCTTCCAGAATTCCCCGGTATTGAAGTTGTCGCATGTCAGGCTACCATTAAAGGTAAGAACCTTTGTATTGCTTCTGTATATATTGCTCCTAGAGTCTCTGTTAATCGCAAACAACTTTTCGACATATGTGCGGTACTTCCCGCTCCATGGTTGATCATGGGAGATTTTAACTCCCACGGTACAGGCTGGGGGGAGCTGTACGATGATAACCGTTCTACTTTGATTTATGATCTCTGCGACAACTTCAACATGACAATACTTAACAATGGAGAAGTAACACGTTTGGCTGGTCCATCCTCGAATGGTAGCAGATTAGACCTCACCTTTTGCTCCAATTCACTATCGTTGGATTGCACTTGGCATGTAATCCAGGATCCACACGGTAGTGATCATCTGCCGATCAAAATTTCGATTGCCAGTGGGTTCAACTCGTCAGAATCCGTTAACGTCGCGTATGATCTAACCCGTAACATCGATTGGACTAAGTTCCAATCCGCGATAGACGATACAGTATCGTCAGTGGAAGAGCTTCCGCCGTTGGAGGAATATAATTTCCTCTCTAATCTCATCGTTGACAGCGCACTTCAAGCTCAAACACGACCGGTGCCACGATCGTCAATCCGTAAGAAAACACCATCGCTCTGGTGGGATCAACAATGCACGGAGGTTTACCGTAAAAAGTCCGACGCGTTTAAACTTCTTCGGAAACGCGGAACACGCGAGCATTTCGACGCATACACATCTCTTGAACGCGAACTCAAGAGCCTCATCAAGGCCAAAAAACGGGGTTACTGGTGGCAGTTTGTAGACGGATTGTCGCGCGAAACGTCTATGAATACGCTTTGGAGTACGGCGCGAAGAATGCGTAACCGGTCTACTAACAACGAAAGCGAGAAATGCTCGGATCAATGGATTCTTAAATTCGCGCGAAAAGTGTGTCCGGATTCCGTGCCGTCGCAGTTGATTCCTCGCGAAACCGCGAATTCGGTAGACGAAATCAGTCAGCCTTTTTCAATGGTGGAACTTTCACTCGCTCTCCTTTCGTGTGGCAATTCTGCCCCGGGATCTGATAGAATCAAGTTCAACTTGCTGAAAAACCTCCCAGACGTCGCTAAGAGGCGCATGTTGAACTTGTACAATCAAATTTTAATTTTAATTTTAAATATCTCGGGGTCTGGTTCGATTCCAAATGCACCTGGAGATCCCACATTGAGTATCTGAGACGAAAATGCCAACTAAGGATCAATTTCCTTCGATCAATTACCGGAACGTGGTGGGGAGCCCATCCACAAGATCTTCTGACGTTGTACCGGACAACGATTTTATCGGTTTTAGAGTACGGTAGTTTTTGCTTCCAGTCGGCAGCTGAAACGCACATCATCAAGCTGGAACGGATCCAGTATCGTTGTCTTCGTATCGCGTTAGGATGCATGCACTCGACTCATACTATGAGTCTCGAAGTGCTGGCGGGCATGTTGCCACTATCCGCCCGTTTTTCAGAGTTATCTCTGAGGCTCCTCACCCGTTGCGAAGTAATGAACCCACTGGTGAAATCGAAAATTTTGAGAAGCTTCTGGAGCTAAATCCTCAAACATGTTTTATGACTTTGTACTACCTATATTTAACACAGGATGTCAGCCCTTCAAGAAATATTCCCAATCGTGTAGTCTTCTCCGATTTCGGCAATTCAGTGAATTTTGATTTATCTATGACGCAGGAAATCCGCGGAATTCCAGAGCATCATCGTCCTATGATTGCTCCGTCATTATACGCTGCAAAGTTTGGCCATGTTGATTCTGCAAGAACGTTTTTCACAGATGGATCTCTAATAGAGGAGTCCGCTGGTTTTGGTGTATTTAATGAATTTCATAGCGCCTCTCGAAAACTTGAAGCTCCTTGTTCTGTGTATGTGGCTGAACTGGCAGCAATTCACTACACTTTGGAAACTATTGCTTCACTTCTTCCAGACCACTACTTTATTTTTACGGATAGTCTCAGTTCTGTCGAGGCTATCCGTTCCATTAGGCCGGTAAAGCACTTCTCGTATTTTCTCTTGAAAATACGAGAACTGCTTAGTACTTTATCCGTGCGCTCTTTCATCATCACCTTCGAGTGGGTCCCTTCGCATTGCTCAATTTTGGGCAATGAGAAGGCGGATTCACGTGCGAAGGTGGGCGCTATGGAAGGCGACATTTATGATCGACAGATCGCCTATAGTGAATTTTTCTCTATTTATCGTCAGCAGTCGCTCGTTAGCTGGCAACATCAATGGAGTGAAGGGAGCTTGGGACGATGGCTACATTCAATTATCCCTAAGGTGTCGAAGAGTTCTTGGTTCAAGAGGTTGGATGTGGGTCGAGACTTCATTCGTATGATGTCTCGCCTCATGTCCAATCACTATTCGTTAAACGCTCACTTGTTCCGTGTTGGGCTGAAGGACAGCAATCTCTGTGAATGTGGACAAGGTTACCAGGACGCTGATCACATCCTTTGGTCTTGTGCGGAGTATCGTGGAGTCAGATCACATTTTTATGATTCCCTTCGGGCTCGAGGTAGACAACCTAATGTTCCAGTTCGGGATATTTTGGCTAGACGCGATCTGGAGTTTATGAAACTCATATATGTTTACTTTAAGGATATTAACCTTAGATAGGAGCCTTAGATGGGAGCGAGCTGTCAACGAATAGATTTAGTGTCAACGATCAAAAAATTTAATCTCGATTTGAAATTCGAGATGAATGTATACGGGATCGATAAAAATGTCGTTGTGCTCAGAAAACAAAGCTCTATCTGATGATGTATAAAAATCGGTATATTTTTTCGAAGTTAAACAACCCAATTGTTAAAAATATTTTAAGAATTTAATAGAGAAAAATGGACACAAAATTGAGCTTATTCTTGGGAACTATTTCCAATTTGAGGGAGTTGTGGAATTGGAGAGTGATTTATAAGAGATTACAAGAGGTAATGCTAAGAACTCTTAGAATGTTACTGGAAGAGTTTAGATATTTTCAAGATTATTTTAGGCGAATATAGAAAAGAAAAATGATGGAATTCTAGGATCATTCGAATTGAACTAAAAAAAAGGCGAAGATATCCTGTGAAGAGTTCCAAGTTAATTCAGACTAACAAAAACATTCATGATCTGGGATTGCAAGATCCTGAGACTTCAAAAATGAAACTATCATACTTTCATTTTAGTAATATAATAAAATTATTCGTAATGGTCATGCGAATAGTGGAGTTACCCGTAGTTTAGGTAAACTGTGTGTGAGTCTCACGATGTTAGGCTTTGATTCCCACTTCAGCCCGGTGAATTTTGGTTCAAAATAAAATTACCTTCTGGTCTGCTGAGTGTTGTGTGTTGTATGATGTCAAGAATTAAATTGTTAATCTGATCAACCTCAGAGTAATATTAGAACTAATAAAATCTTTAAATTCTGGTACTGCATTAAAAATTAAGGACTACATCGACTATTAGTTTAAAAATCCATCCCATCCAATTTCCTTGATTCTTTGCTTTTCACTCTTTTTTTAAAAAAGTTACAGTTTGAAAAACAATTCTAACCATATTTTCTGCTGCTTTTACCCACATTTAACTCAATTTTTGAAATGCTGCGTAATGGATATTTGAACTTTTTGGGCACACCGTGTCAATAATTTTTAACTTTTGGATGATTTTAGCAATGCTTACAAGTTATTTACTTCATATAATTTATTTAAACATGTAATTTATTACTATTCTAGTACTTTAAATAATTTCCAGACGATCGAACTGACCTATTTTCAACGGAGATTGGCACATCAATTTGATTCCAATAGCATTATGATAAAAAGAGAATTTTTTGGAGCATTCCAGATTTTTCCAGATTTTATATTTTACCTGGTCCAGATTTTTCTGAAAATGACCTGGCAACGCTGGTCGAAGCTCAAGGAGAACGAAAAAAAGAAAGTGATCAGTGCACCCAGAAGACTGGTCAGCAAACAGATCGTATAGTTGAAAATAATGCATCTTATCAAATAGGGGATAATACGTTTTATTTGAAAAATAAAAAGCGGGAAGGGATCTAATTGAAAATAATGGTCATCGGCCCAAACAATGCCTAAAAGGCGAAGGGGCCTTATAAATAAACGCAAGCAAACGAAGCAAAAACCAGACAAAAATATTTGGTAGGCAAGTTCTGTAATAGATTAATAGCTATCACGCAATTTTGTTTTCGTGAATGGTTCAATTTGTCTGCAGACAAAATAAATGGCCGTCCCTTTTTTTCTAGCGAAATCTTTGAAGATGTTGTCAATCTTTAATCTGACGAATTTTTGAGATTTCATGCATTGCCAATCAACTACCGAAGACCTGTAAATTGCCAATATTGCTACTAATTGAATCGATAGTTCGGTCCGTTCGGGCAGTCCGGCATCTTTTAGAACCGAATGTAAGATCACAAATAAACAGTGCCGAAAAGCTGCATCCCATCCCTCGCTTCCAAACCATACACAAACACAGTTCGTAGAAAGTAATCAGTCCCCACTGTTCAAGCATAAGTAAAGAACAAAAACAGCTATCAACCACCATAATTACCTCCGTAACCATGCCGAAGTCATCGCCATCGCCTTCCTTAGCCGTAGGGGGACCTGTAAGTTAAACCAAATAAAATTGCGATTAGAAACAATGGATTCGAACATTTTGCGAACAAGCAATCTCACCTCCGCTCAAGTCGATCGGTGGTTGACGACTCAGGTCACACTCGTTGGCAAATGGAAGCTTCTATGAAGATATGGAACAAAACAAACATAACAAAAAATACCCACGTAAAAAGTGGAAGAAGAAAAAAAAAAGCACACATTAGAACACACAAAGCCACACGCAGAGAGCTTACGTTCATAAGCTGCTGTTCGACAGAATGAATATTGCTAGCCACCTTGAGAACGCTGGCCAGATGCTTTTCGAACTTTTCCTCCTGCAGCCGCATCTCGGTCAGCTTGGTTTGCTTCTCCTCCATCTCGTGCTGTTTGAGCTTCTGGAGATTCTGCAGCTGCTTGAGCACATTCGGATCGGACAGAATCTGGGCAATGTTGTTCCCATCCGGCAGCGACGTCGAGGGAACCGACGGCGAATTCTTATCGTCGTCTTCTTCGCTGCCGTAGTCAAAGTCAAGCAGCTTTTTGTTGAACTTGACCTGATCCTTGCCGGAGCCGTGTGCATCGCTACCGCCAGTTTGTCGCATCAGCAGTTGCTGGAATTGCTGCAACTGCCGGATGGTGTTGGGGTCCAGTCCCTTCTGCGGAGAAAGAAGCACAATGTTAGCACGTGCGGGGAACAAGCGGAAAGAGGTATGATCGTAGTAATACTTACCGCCTCCGAAGTTTGCGCCGAGCTACCGTGATCGTCGTGGGACATCGGTCCCGGTGAATCGTGCGACAGAGCTGAGGTATTCATGCCATTGGAACCACCGGATCCGTCAGCACCACTAGCACCACCTGCAGCCTGCGCTGCGTTGTACTGCAGATGCAGCGGGTGCTCCGGATTGGCCAGATCGAACAGCGGCTGGATGACCTCCGGTGCGAACACCATGTTCTTCTGCCACAAGTTCAACACCCGGATGATTTTACTCTGTGGGATAGACGAGCGCGAATTTTATTTATTTTTTTATTCGAAACCACCGCTAAACGACAGAAGTATGTAATTGATGCTGACTTCGTTCGGTAGCGTTTGAACCAAACTATCGTACCAAACGCATAATTAACTAGTCAAAAAAAACTTTGAAATCATGGACTTATTCGATGTTTTCTGCCCGATATTCCCAAAATGGGCGATTAGGCCGAAGTAGTTCTCTACTCTATTAGGCCCTAAGTAACATTGACAGATTCTCTTCGTCGACTTTCTCTTTGCATCCTCACGAGTCACGACCATGTTTGGACATTCCCAACTAACTAGCACTCAGATCGATGAAAGAAGCTATCATCTAGCTTCTAATACGACAAAAACAACAAGAAACGATTCTGTATCCAAGTTATAAACGAAAGAGAAGCGATCAATGTTACTTAGGATCTTATGCATTTTTCAGCTTGAATTGTTGATAAGAGCAGTTTCCGGCCAACTAGCAAAACAAAATATGAATTTTTGCCTCGACCTTCTCCGATTTTCAAGAAACTTTGCATAATTGTTTGTTATGAGCAATCATTCACATTTTAGCTCAAATTTAGCCATGTTGGATCATTTAATTATTTTTTATTTATTTTTAAAATGGCGTCTATTTTAATAATATGTTATCCAACTTGGTAGCATTTCAAACAAATTGAACTAGATCGATCCACATAGGCGAACCAACCCAGGCTGAAAGCTTCCCTAATAAAGAGAACCTAACCAGGTTTTTTTTTTTTTTTTTTTTTTTTTTTTTTTTCCTTGATTTGTTTTCCGTCGATCTTGTTTTCCGTGCTGAGCACCAATGCTACCGACGCCAGGGAGGCAGCTCCCACACCTGGACCCTACCTATCGACCCATCAACTCATGAACCGGGGACCAACGGCTTTACTTCCCTTCCGAAGGAAGGCGTGATCAGAGATGTTATGCCTCAGAACATCCCGGCGGCGCCGACTGGGATTGAACCCAGGCCTGCTGGGGTGAGAGGCAATCACGCTTACCACTACACCACCGGCGCCGCTACCTAACCAGGTTGTCAACTCGTTTTTTTTCTTAGTTTATTTATTAGGCTCAAATGTCAATAAGACTCAACGGAGCCGAATGCTATGAAAAAATAGACAATTTTAATTAGGAAGCACTTTTTCTCTTTTTCTTATACATTAGCTGCTCTAAATAGGCGGCATCAATCCTCCTCTTGTTCTCCTCGATCAATGCACACCGTTCTTTCGGTTCTTCAATGTGCGAAACGTCTTGAATAATATATGGGCGCTGCGTATAGGAACAAATATCACCACTCACTGGATCAAGCTGCTATCACTTTCGGTGGAGTCGGCATGTTTTTACCTGATTATGGTAGGATACCATCGTAATTTCGTCGTCGACGGTTATGTACGACGGGATGGGGAGAGTAAGCTTAATTTTGACAACGCGCACTCCATTATTAAAGCCTGGAAAATAGCTCTTCCAGACTTCGCTTCTAATGGCTATCACTTCACCATACTGACGCATATGATCAATGATAGCCACATTATCCATGTCGTCTGGAAGATCATGTAAGCGCACGTCGACCGCACTGCTCTCGACGTAAATTGGAATCAAGATCTTCTTCCTTTCGTATTTCATGAAATGCTTCAGGTGATGAGCTGAAGCGACTTTTTTCTGCCACTACGTCACTTTTCATACCCAAATGCACAACGTTCTTGACATTATGTGGCTGGATACTTTTCACCAGTGTCATGTCGACTTGCAGCTCATTGTCCAAAAAAAATTTAATATCTGAGATACACGGTCGCATCGGAAGAATTGATGTGTCTAACACGACACAATTTGCTCTGGTACAGTGCCTACCCGGTTTTGGCAACACAACCTCATCAACTATTACTTTCCTCAGATATGTACCTAGTGCTTTCTGGACATTTTTTTTATGAAATACCCCATAGACCTCTAACCCATAAAGAGTCGTCCAGTACAATCTAAAATTGAATTCGATATATTTTGTAGATTGCAAAACAGACAGAAATTGCCTGTTGCCAAAAACGGGAATGCACCGCTTCTTTCTGAATTCACAAACTTTAAACGTGGTAAGCGCCAGATAACCAGTTCAAGCAGTAACCGGGATGTTAATATGATTAATAGCTATGTGTGAAGGAAACTGCAAACATCTCAATATCAATCTGCAAAAAAGGCTTGCTTAATAGATTAATGTTTTCAGCGTGTTCACGATCCGTTTTTTACATCGATTTACTCCATGATACGACAAGAGGTCCTTGACATGGCAATTTTCTCACCCTTAGAAGTTCTTTTCTAACTGTTTCCGAACTCAAAGCTAGAAGCAGAAATTCACCCAGTTTTCCTACATCTTACATATGAAACACTTGTCTTTAATCCCATTAAAAAAAATTCCTTGAGCACATTTTTAGACCTCGAGGGAATTTTCCGCTACCTGATAGTGGTGTTAGTATGCGTGGGCGAGCTACGCCAAACCGACGATCAAATGCATCCGTAGTCGCCCAACTAGCGTAACAATGCCGCACGACGACCCAGTGAAAATGTTTCTCGAAAGCGACTAAACATGAACAAGAAGAAGAGGCGCACAGCGGGCAAGGTGGATCGACCAAGTGGAAGGCAACCTGCGGACCCTTGGCTGACTACGAGGCTGTCGAAGTGTGACCATAGATCGAGTAGAATGGAAACGACATCTTCGGGCAGCAGAGGACAACAAGGCCTTAGCCTGATTGGTAAGGTAAGCAAGTCGCCCATTTTTTGAAATGTGGACCACCGGTCTAATCAGCGTCTTGTAGATAGTCAACTTCGTGCGGCTGCGAATTTTATTCATGGCAAGTCCAATCCGCCTAGCTTCAGCCTTCAGTCTGATGTTCGTTTCCGCCATCATCTCAAAGTTCCGTGCCATGATGTCGATGTCATCGGCGAAGCCAAGAAGCTGGATGGACTTCCTGAAGATTGTGCCACTCGTGTCTATCCCAGCTGTTCGTATCACGGCTTCTAACGCGATGTTGAATAGCAGACACCATGCCGTAGCCCCCTTCGAGATTCAAAGTGACTCGAGAGTGTCCCCGATACTCGAACAACGCACATCACTCGATCTATCGTCGCCTTGACCAATCGCGTCAGTTTATCTGGAAATCCGTACTCGTGTATAATCTGCCATAGCTGATCTGGATCGATTGTTTCGTATGCGGATTTGACATTGATGACACCCATGAATTCCACCTGGTATTGCCCCACAAACTCTCTTGCAAATGGTGACAGGCGGTGGCATAGAATTTGGGAGAGTACCTTGTAGGCGGCGCTCAGCAGTGTGATCGCGCGGTAGTTGAAGCAATCCAACTTGTCGCCCTTTTTGGAGACTGGGCATACGACACCTTCCATCCACTCCTCCAGTAAACTCTCCTCTTCACAGATCTTGGCAATTAAACAGTGCAGCGCTCTAGCCAGTGCTTCACCACCGCATTTTAATAGTTCACTTGGTAGTTGATCTACACCAGTTGCTTTGTTGTTTTTCAGCCGACCGATTTCCTCCTCATTCTGCTGCATTCTTCTCCTCTAAGAACAGTTTGCATTTCTTCGGTCCGGGATCGCAATACCTAGTGCCGCTGCAGCAGTACTACCTATGGCGGAACGGATGTCTCTCCAGTCCTTTTTCAAGAGTAGCTACGCCAAGCTGCTTTTCCGTGGGTAGTGCAGCTTCCAGCTTCTGCTCGTAATCCTGAGCAACTCCGGCGTCACGTAATTGCTCAATGTTGGGTCGCGGTGTTCGACTTCGACGAGTGTTATGCACCGTCAAGAGTTTTGAGCGCATGCATACTGCAACTAAGTAGTTGTTTATGGAACGAACTGCATGTGATTTTAAGAAATGAAAATCCAGCTCGTTCTTTCTCGTATTGATTAATAGTAATTGTTTCATCATTGTGACATCTAATCATAATAAAAATAGAATTTTGTGTTTAAAGCCACTGTTTACGTTTGGTGGTTCCGCCTATTTCAATTGTTGGTCTAGAAATATTCCCTTCTTTACATCACGGCTCGTTCTTGATTCTCGTTACGATTAGATATTACTAAGTTACACATAAACCAATTAGATATTTATTAATGAATACGCTAAAGAACCGTTACATAAGGGAAAACTTACACAACAAATAAAAAATTTCCCCTTCTTTACATCACGGCTCGATATTTATTTTCATTACGATTAGACATCACTTTGATAAACAATAAGATTTTTATTTATCAATACGTTGAATAACTAGCCATGATACAAAGAAGGGCAAATTCACAGAACAATCAAAATTTTCCCTTCTTTATAGCAAAGCTCGTTCTTTAATCATTTTAAGATTTTATATGACTGGTTTATCACAGATTAGATATTTTTATTAATTAATATATTAAATAACGAGCTGGATTTTGCTTCTACAAGCAGTTCTTCCATAAAAATATATCTATTTTTAAGAGATTCAAAGAAAGGAAATTTTTATAATGAAGTGTGAAGTGGAAAGGAGACGGTCAGTTTGACAGTTTTCCGCTGTCGTTGCCGTCCCGCTTCAGTTGTCATTGCGTTCGGACCTTAAGACTTAGTGGTTAGTCGAGAGTTCTCTCAATTACAGCTTGCTGATAGGAATCGACCGTCCACGTTCCGTACCAAGCATTTCTGGCAACACTTTCCCGAAAACTCCCACGCTCCCCTCCCATCATCGCCCCCCTAACGGTATATTCCCGTTCGAACACTCTGAAACGAAAAAGAAAACGAAAGCTCATGCCACACTCACCTTATCCTCTGGTGGGCAGCGAAACAGGTGCGCGAACGTTTGCTCCATGTTCCGAGCGAACCGCGGTGCAAACACATCCTTGTCCGGGCCGAACTGGTGCCGCGATTGGCGCACGATCGAATCGATCACATACAGACCCGGTATCTTGTACTCCGACTTGCACTTGGAGATGAACTTTTCCACACTCTGCACAACGTGCTTGTAGAACTTGATGGCCTTCATCGCACTCCGGGTAATCGAGGCCATCTTGGCCTTGGAGATCGGCGGCTTGGCTTCATACAGCCCCGAGAGCTGCAAGCACAACAAACAAACCCAATTATTACACTGTTTTCGCTACTGAACTTCTCGCACAAATTTTGCATTATTGCATTTTATATAACAGCAAAACCACCAGCAGTAAGCAGCGAATAGTAATCAAGAGTTTTGCGGAGCACCCATTTTTGCTCCGATGCTTCTTTTTTTTTTGAGGTCACCACCATCAGTCGCCGCAGCAACTAGACATTGAATCATTGGTAAATTTTGCAAACACTTTTTTCTCACCTCCTGATTGAACACGCGAACCGTATCCATGTTGCACTGCTTGCGGACGTTTTCAACACTCGAATTCAGATACTTTTAGCCATCCAAGGGCATATTTTGACCGAAAAAATTGCAAATATCCGCGGACCGTACGGCTGTGTCACGATTTCCGTCCTTCACACACGCACACGAATTTCGGTTTAAAATGGCCGCCGTGCTGTCGATGGAAAGGAGGCGAGCGATTTCGATGGCGATTACTGACGGCGAGTTGATGATGACAGATCGGGGAAAGAAAGCAAGCTGAATATTGCATTAAGACCTAGGTAACATTGATCGATTCTCTTCGTCGACATTCTCTTTCATAAATAACTTGAGCACATAGCCGTTTCTTGTCGTGTTTGTCATATAAGATGCTAGATAAAAGCTTCTTTTATCAATCTGTGTGCTGAAAATACCTGCGAATGTCTTTACATGGCCGTGGGGATACAGAGAGAAAGTCGGCGAAAAGAATCTGTCAATGATACTTAGGACCTAATGCAATGTGAAGCTTGAAAGGTTGTCAAAAATCAGGGGAAACATGTCAGAAGGGTATAACTCAAATCGTAAACAATGACTTTGAACGTCGATTTCTCTTGAGTGACCACACACCAGCTGGGTGACATGCCGCCATGTTATTGAAACCAACATCTGAAACGTCACAATTCCAGTGTGAACTGCAAAAATGGCGTGACTGAATTGTCTCATTTTTATCAAATGAAAATATTTTCCCTTTTATGCCACATAAATGGTTGACTTCGTGGTAGAAAATCAGAAAATAATATTTTATGAGTCCTAAGTTTATTTTTCACAAAATGTAAGCAAAAATATTAAGAATATCCATAATATCAGTCACGCCTTTTTTGAAATTCTGGCTTGAATCTTCTATTTGTTTACAAATTATGAGCTGTCAGTGGGGCCCACAATTCGCGGGCCCGCAGCGATGTTAGCTCTTTTCAAGGCAAGGCAAACAAGATAGGGATGCCACCCAGCTGCCACACACCCACGGAATCTGACTACACCAGCTCATAGAACGAACATTAAATTTTCCCTGTCAGATGATTTAGTTAGTTTGAGTGCACAGAAATTCAAAACAACCCAAAATTAAGTTCTTTTCACTCATCTCCCATGTTCCGTACGATAAGCCAAATTTGGGTAAACCGGCTCAAAGTAGTTTGCATTTAAGCACGGCAAAAAAAATTACCCATCGCTAAGTTATTTTCAATTTTTTCTACCCAAAATTAAGTTCAATTTACTCAAATTTGGGTATATCGCATATTACTCAATTTTGGCTTCTTGTACGGAACTAGACGGTTGAGTCGAATCTTTCGTTCTATTTTTGACAACAATAGCGAGAGGAAATGAAACGGACAGAGGTCAAATAACTCAAATTTGAGTTTAAAAAACCCAAGCGGTGGGTAGTTTTGTTTTTCTGTGTGGGTGTGTTGTCATTCGTAAGAAACCGACGATCCAAGACTCGAGTAACATTTGAAATGGGCCTATGTCCAAAACGTAAACAAATCGGGTTTTGATACCATTCCTTAGCACTGCTTGATAGCTACTAATCGTGTAGGAAAGTTCCGCATAATCGAGAAAAATCATTAAAAATAACTCGATTTTCGAAACGGCCGATCAACGAAATTTTTCGATTCATTAATAGGCCCGCACGCTAAAACGGCCAACCATTCATTTATTTCATTTCATTGATAAGCCTAGTGACGTAGAAGGGCCGATGATTGAAAAATTTCAAACCAAAGCTAGGCCCTACTGCTTGAGGCAGGGCCGATGATTTGTTTTGAATTTATTTGACGTTGCGAAAAGGCTTAGCAAAGGGCCTACCATTTCTGATGACAAGCACAACGGCTTAACAAAAAGGGCCTATCCATTGAAAGATCACAAAAAAGGCTTATTAATTTATGAAATTATATTGTTATCGATTTTCATATAATTTTGAAAGCTTTTCGCATATTTTGGATGTTGTATACTGAGATACAGTAACTGTTGTTATTGCGAACAATATAAATGCCTAAAATACTTCAATTTTCTTAAATATGAATTGAATAATGGCGGTCAAAATTTAAAATTCATTTTCTGGTTTGTTTACGTTTTGGACATAGGCCCATTTCAAATGTTACTCTAGAAGTCATTGTTTACGTTTCGAGTTAGACCCTTCTGACATGTTTCCCCTGAAATGTCAAAAATCGAGAAAATCTAGCGTCACTTTTCAATAGGTCCTTTCTACATTTATCGATTCCCTGCATCTACTTTCTCTTTGGATCGCCACGACCGTATTAAAATATTTCCGGATATTTTCGACACACAGATCGATGGAAAAAGCATTAATCTAGCCTCCAATACGACAAAGATGACAAGAAACGTTTTTTTTTTCTCCTTGATTTGTTTTGCTTCGATCTTGTTTTCCGTGCTGAGCACCAATGCTACCGACGCCAGGGAGGCAGCTCCCACACCTGGACCCTACCTGTCGGCCCATCAACTCATGAACCGGGGACCAACGGCTTTACTTCCCTTACTACTTACACCACCGGCATCGCTTCAAATCAGACAGGAAAAGTGTATAGACTTTTTTGGCGTTTAATCATCTTTCTCTATCTAGCACAGATGGATGAATGGACGGTTTGTTTTCCCACTAATCTGTTTCCCTCTTGCTCGCACTCGTTCGCTTTGAATGGTACAGTAGTGTGCGCCGATTAAACGTCAAAAAGCTCTATAACCGAGTTCAAGGTGACTACATATAGGTGTTCTAATGTGTCAAATTCATGATTCAGCCATGTTGGATTTTTGTATGGGACAGCCACCGAGTTTGTTTACAATTTGCTCTAAAAACAACGTCACTTCGCTTTGAACTGTAAACAGATACGATCCAGCGAAATCTAATTTTGTGGATTGTATCTTTTTCTCTTATGTTTATTTTTTTTCACGCATGCACCGCTAGCGAAAAGAGCAGCAGCTAAGCGAAAAGTTGACGTTTCGAGAAAGAGCGTATCTGTCAGATTTTCACTTTACCGGAGGTGTAAACTGATCGATTTCGTTTCACATGAACTGTAAACTGCGAAAAAAGGAAACTGGAAAATGTTCCACAAAATTTTTTTCGCTAGCGAAGTTTTATAATTTTTCGCGTGCTTCGATTTTCGTTTCGCTTCGATCTGTATAACTAGGCTTACGGTTCAAAGCGAAGCGAAATAATTGCCAATTGCGTTTTTCACGCAGGTGAAAAATGTAGTATTTTGTATGAGATTTTCGCTTCGCTTCGATCTCTATACAGGCCTTTAGAGCAACCGTAACGGTACGCTGCTAAACTCATTTTAGCAGCCCTCATCATAGCGCAGCTACCGTATCGGGGGTTGCCATACGAGTAACTAAAATAGCAGTCGGCTTCTCGGTGACAAGCGCGTTACCAAATTTAGCAGCGCGATAGCAGCGCGATAGCAGCGCGGGAGAAAGGTTGCTATTCGTAGAAATGTCAAAATGCTCACTACCGGTACGGACTACGGCGAGTAAATTGATAAACCGCGATAGCAGCGACCGGTGTGGAGAAGAGTGACTAAACTAAAATCGAGACTAAAATGAGAGCGCTGTGCACTGTTAAAATAGTCGCGCAAATGACAACGACCGTTACGGTTGCTCTTAGCGAGAAATTCGTTTATGTTGCCGTGGTAAACCAAAGTTGATGAAGCTGAACATTGCATTAGGTCCTAAGTAACATTGATCGATTCTCTTCGTCGACTTTCTCTGTTGTTAATAACTTGAGCACATAACCGTTTCTTGTTGTGTTTGTCGTATTGGATGCTAGATAAAAGATTCTTTTATCGATCTGTGAGCTGAAAATACCTGGGAATGTTTTTACATGGCCAAGGGCTAGGCCGTGGGGATTCAAAGAGAAAGTCGACGTCCATCGGCAAATAAATCGAGCCAGCTTATCATACACTGATAAATTGAACTATTCCCATTTTGCTTGAAATTTAATCAATTTGACATTAAACTCAGTTTAATTATATTGTAATGATTAAAAATTAATCCTCTGGCCTAAGAGCAACCGTAACGGTCGTTGTCATTTGCGGGACTATTTTAACAGCGCACAGCGCTCTCATTTTAGTTTAGTCACTCTTCTCCACACCGGTCGCTGCTATCGCGGTTATCAATTTACTCGCCTTTGTCCGTACCGGTAGTGAGCATTTTGACATTACTACGAATAGCAACCTTTCTCCCGCGCTGCTATCGCGCTGCTAAATTTGGTAGCGCGCTTCTCACCGAGAAGCCGACTGCTTTTTCACTTTACCGGAGGTGTAAACTGATCGATTTCGTTTCACATGAACTGTAAACTGCGAAAAAAGGAAACTGGAAAATGTTCCACAAAATTTTTTTCGCTAGCGAAGTTTTATAATTTTTCGCGTGCTTCGATTTTCGTTTCGCTTCGATCTGTATAACTAGGCTTACGGTTCAAAGCGAAGCGAAATAATTGCCAATTGCGTTTTTCACGCAGGTGAAAAATGTAGTATTTTGTATGAGATTTTCGCTTCGCTTCGATCTCTATACAGGCCTTTAGAGCAACCGTAACGGTACGCTGCTAAACTCATTTTAGCAGCGTACCGTTACGGTTGCTCTAAGGCCGCGGCCAGAGTAGACGCGACACGCGACGCGACGCGATGCGACTCACGCAAGAAATAATAATAAATAATAAGATTCCTGTTGGAGATCAGTAAGCCATGAAGCGAGATCGGAGAAAATTTTGATTCCCCTAACAACCATTGTTAATTAAAGATCAATAAAAAATTTGTAACCCCGTTAATTTGACTGTGTGTTTGATTCCTCTACACAGTTTTATAAGAAACTGTGCCCAAGAGTTCAAGACCAAGCGTGTGAAGAAGATTCCGTTCCGTCTTCAGGTGAGCGAACTGTCGGCGTGAGTCCGAACCAGCCGCCTGAAACATTGGTCCTTCTGTCCCGTCCTCAGGTGAGCGAACTGTCGGCGTGAGTCCGAACCAACCGCCTGAAACAATTCCTTTGAATTTGTTGCGTCTACCCTGGCCGCGGCCTAAGACCAGAAGGTCCCGAAGAAACGTGCTCAACTTTTTGGTTCAGCTCTGGTACTCTCTTCGGTCCCAAGCTAATCGATGCATCCCTCGAAACATAGGAAAATCCACGAACCCCTCATTTT